ATGCTACAGTTCACACCCTTGTAAGGTATTGTCCGCTCTGGCCCCCCCTGGCCTCATGGTTTTGTCCTACAAAAGATGTCTCACAAGACAGAGGTGGTGTGAACCCTTTTATACCCCAGTAACCCTCCTATTATGTTTTGTGTGGGATTCAGGACTCTTCCTTAGGTTCGTGACATTTTCCCCCACCCAACCTCGTGATGCCCTCGTCACGGAGGCTGACCACCCTACCTACCTCCCTCGAGGTGCTTGGCATGGATCGAACAGTTTAAGGTTGGCTCTGATACCAACTGTCATGGCCTCTAACCTTAGACTCAGAATCCATGCGGCCTTAGGCTTGGAATCTCCTCCTTTATGCCTAAGTCAGCCTAAAACACAAGCATGCGAGCACTAAAACAATGGGAAGGACTGATTACACAAGTTAAAGAGAAACAGGATAACAAGGCAGAATGCTGGAAATATGCTCTATATTCACTGAAACAGAAGTGTTTGATGGTGTACAAATGAGGGTGGAGCAACCCTCTATTTATAGTTGAGGCTCTAGCTACACTTAATGGCAATATCCCTAGAATAAAGGCTAAATCATGGGATTACAAAGATTACAATCAATCAGGATTCTAACTCCTGATTTTTAGGGTCAACCAAATCTACCAGGAGGCTCCTGCTGATCCTGTAAGCTTTCAGAAGCTTCACTTGCATATCTAGCACCTTGGGCCCCTGTGGATATGGTGCAAGTAGCCTGCATGCCAGGCCTTGGCCTTACAGGCTGGCCTACAAGCTGGGTGCAAATTCTGAACTTTCCTAGGCCTTGAGCGTAAATACCCGCCAGTGCACCTAGTGCACCTGATTTGCCTGGCGTGCCCTCCCAGGGCGTGACATTCTCCCGCACTTGATTGTGGAACACCTTCGTTACGTCTTCTGCATGGTACTGCCTGATCTGGTCCCAAATTACCATAAGTCCTTTGCTGGTTCCCAGCTTGCCTCACCATCTGGAAGTCTTTTCCAGCGTACCAAGTACTCTTGTCTTGGTTGGTAGTTCTTCTGTCTCACTTTCTGATCAGCTATGATGTTGTGGACCTCCTTCTCATATGAGGCCCTATTCCCAATGGTGTACGCTTTGACTCTGCCTATCCTGGATCTCCCTCATCCTCATTGAACAACTTGAGCATGGTTACATGGAACACTGGGTGTACCCTCAGGTTGGGTGGCAATCCAGCTTGTAGGCAACCTTACCTACCCTCTTGACTACTCGAAAAGGTCCTTTATACATTTGGACTAGGCCTTTGTGCAGCCCCCTGTTGCACACAATGGGATGCAGCTTCACCAACACCAAGTCTCCAACCTGGAACTGCACATCCCGCCTATTTTGGTCTGCATACTTCTTCAACCTCTTTGCCGCCTTATGTAGACAAACTCTGGCCAAGTCAGTTTGCTCCTGCCATGCCTTGGCAAACTTATATGCTACTGGATTCAGCCCTGTATAACTTGTAGCAATCGAACCGGGTGTTAGTGGTTGTTGCCCTGTCACAACCTCAAATGGGCTTTGGTTCATTACCTCGTTCTTTTGCAAGTTGTAGGAAAACTGTGCAACATCTAACAGCTTTGGCCAGTCTCTTTGTGTGGCACTCACATAGTGCCTGAGGTAGACCTCCAATAGTTTATTCACACGCTTAGTCTGCCCATCGGTCTGCGGATGCATGTTGGTGGAAAAGTTCAAGTCTGACCCTAATAGCTTGAACAACTCAGTCTAAAACCTACCTGTGAAACGCTCATCCCGATCACTAACAATGGTCCTCGGTACTCCTCAGTACTTAACCATGTTCTTCAGGAACAATCAAGTTGCCTCCTCTGTTGGGCATTCCTTGGTTGCTGGAATGAAGATTCCATACTTGGAAAACCCATCCACCATTACCTTGATGCTTCCAAACCCCTTTACTTTGGGTAGACCAACTATAAAGTCCAGAGAAACATTCTCCCATGGTCGCTCTGGCACTGGCAATGGCTCCAAGAGACCGCCTGGTTTCTTGAGCTCCACCTTGTCCTATTGGCACACAAGATAAGTCTTCACATAGGCCTCCACATCGTCCCTCACGTGCGACCAGTAGTATCGATCCTCGATCAGTGCCAAGGTACGGCTCACTCCTGGGTGTCCAGCCCACCTTGAATCATGGCACTCTTGTAAAACTTCCTTGCAGAGCTTCCCATGCTACGACACAAATAGTCTACTGTCCCTAGTGTACAACAAACCATCCTGGACCCAAAACCACCTAGTCTTACCATGCTGGACGTACTCCATAAGAGCCTTGGCTGTAGGATCATACGTAAGTCCCTCACTAATGGGTGGCACCAGTGACCCCTTTGGTTAGCTAATGGCAACAAGGTTAGCCTTTCTGCTCAGGGCACTTGCCACCGGTTCACCTACCTTAGCTTGTACTCCATATGGAAATCAAATTCTTTAAGATGCTTGTGCTGGAATAAAATCGATGCACCATATAGTGTTTTC